TCACCGTGGTAGAGTCTGAAATTGTGCAGAACAAAGGATGCACAGGTGTGATCCACCATGTAGTCCATATTATACACAAATATATTGCGCGATCGCCTCCATATATTTGTGAGTCTTCCAAAGGTATGCTCTATGCGAACCCGGATCCTTGATAAGGCCCGATTAAATTGGACTTGCCTTGGTGTTAGATGACCATTGTTAATAAATGGAACAACAAGCTGCACAGGTAAGGGAACTATTTAGAAAATGTTGCAGACACCTTGCTTCTACTTTGCCATGTGAATGGTACTTACTCGATCAAGAATTGGAAATGCTGAGTCTCCAATCATGTATTCTCCTTCGGCCATGAAGGTCTCATCAAACATAACGCTCTGATACAGAGGACTACGCCTAAATGCTCTTGCGTCGTGTAAACTCCCTGCCTCCCCCACATACAAATCACGCACTTTAAGCTCATGGTCACACACAGCCATGGCTTTGATAGAATAACCATGATGACGGTCTCTGAAGGCAGCTGGCTCTTCTCCTGGGGCTGTCATCACCATATGCTTGCCATCCAGCATTCCTACAACACCCTGCAGACCAGAAACTTCCTCTAATGCAGCACTAATTCGAGTTCTTTCATGTGCATCAGGCCAATATATATATCTGGCACCAAGATCACAAAGACCTCCTGTGATTTTTGTGTAATACCTATGCACTTCACCAGGGTGCACAACAAAGCGGAGGGCAACACTACGAAAGGTGTCTGGGGTTGCAAGGATCCACAGTACCATGAGCACTTTATGGCGGAAATCCCTTCCTACCCGCACTATTTCTCTATTGGCCTCCAGGTGTTCGACCAACTCTTCGCACAGAATCTGCAAATTTACAAATTTAAAATTGCAACTCAGACACACACTAATAAACGGCCAAATAATGATAGATTCATGAGACTTGCTTCAAACTGAGTTTTGGACAAGGGGGACGTAACTTCAACCAATCGGTGTACAGATCCGGATCCAGTCAAAATCCAGTCCACATCCAGTCACCCAATCATTTTCCAGTCACCCAGTCGTCTTGCCAGTCGCATCCAATCGCATCCAGTCGCTTACCAGTCAAAACCAATCAAAACCAGTCGTTTCCAGTCACCCAGTCAAAAACTGTCCGATCGCCAAAAAGCACCATAAGAGCCCCACTTTTTGAATCCCTCGGTACCTTGAAAGGCAGCAACGGCAACCAGAGTTCGCAATGGACATCACAAACACATTTTCAATTTTGTTGTTTTATCAAAATGGAATGGTGTTTACTCGTAGAATAATTGGAAGTCACCTTATCTTTCAATCGGACTTGTCAAAACTATTATTAAACACACAACTTATTTTCACAACAGCCATGGACTTGCAAGGGACCGAACAATATTATAGCCAATATCGCAAACTCATGTAGAATAGGCCCATCAAAATCAGAACAAGTTACACCATTTTCTTAAATTCATTAGCTTTGTCTAAAGTCACATTATGTTAAATGAAGTCCAATAAAATGGTGGGAGCATTGAAATTAAACTCTATGATACAATACATTATAGAACTTTCAATTAAATAAACTTCATCGACTCGTGATCCTTTGAATGCCTCGGAGAGATCTGATAAAAATGAATAAAAGAGCGTCAAGTTATACTTGTCGTAGGAGAAAAGTTTAAATGTATTTTGAAATTAAATCAAATATAAGGGTATTTAATTTCACTTCAACCAGAGGCAATCCAATATAGTTTCACCTTCAAAAATGATTGGAATGGAATGAAATGGGAGCATCATGATTCATATGGCATTACACAAAAGGGTAAATTAAGTAGGGGGAGTGCAGTGGGTATAGGAAGGGACAGAAGCAGACATGTTCTGTAGGTGAACTGCAGGACCGCATAAACTTAAGCCCCCCCCCCCC